TATACTTCCACACAGAGCTTTGTACAGTCACATAGACCTACACACACACAAACACAGACACACACACAGAGGCACATACACTTCCACACAGAGCTGTGTACAGTCACACAGACCTGCACACACACACACACACACACACACACACACACACACACACACACACACAATCACTTGCCTACCGAACTCACATAGACATGCATGCACATAGCCCAATTTTGTTTTTTGAGACATGGTCTTATGTGTCCCAGGTAGCTAAAAATGGCCTTCAATTTCTGATCTTTCTGCTTCCATCTCCTAAGTGCTGGGATTATAGGACCACATCACCAGGCTGAGTCTATGCAGCACTGGGGATCGAACCCAAGGCTTCATGCATGGTAGGCAATCACTCTACCAACTGAGCTATGTCCCAAGATCAGCACATTCTTCTACACACAGAGACATTCCCCAAGAACTGCATACACCATGGCAAACATAATGTTTAGAGACACACAAAGACACATAGGGGAAAAGAAACACCATAAAGGAGTCACAGAAACATAATGAGCAAAGCAACAGGAGTCAAAAGTGCATAAACTGAGCTCTGACCAAGACTGGAGAGATAGCTCAGGCCTTAAGAGCGCTGGTTGCTCTTCTACAGGACCCAGGTTCAATTCCCAGCACCGACATGGCAGCTCACAACTGTCTGTAACTCCAAGATCTGACACCCTCACACAGACATACATGCAGGCAAAACACCAGTGCACATAAAGTAAAAAGAAATAAATTTAAGAAAGAAAGAAAGCAGCTAGGAGGCAGACCCAAGGTGGTCCTTACTTAGGAAGACCCCAATTTGTGGGAATTGTGTACATGCAACACCTGCGTGTCCTTTGGGTGGTATACCAGCCAGGTCACCCTGAATTAAGCCCGTCCCCATTCTGCAACAGGGCACCTGGAATGGGCTGTGTGTTTTGCAAGAAGTTGGAGCCTGCATCCAAGGAGGATGTTGGCCTGGAAGGGGACTTCAGGAGCCAAGCGCCTGAAGAACGATATTATCCTGACCCGACTCAAGGCCAAGGCCGGTCGCAGACCTTCTCTCCTCAGCCTACCAGCCCAGCTTTCCTTAGTGCTGGCACCATGAGGTGCATCTCAGGTGGGTCTCTAGGGCAGGAGACAGATGCCTCCTGGGTTCTGGGAAAAACTAAGGAGAAAATCCAACTTGTCCTTAGAAGCCTCTAGAATGAAAAGGAAACACAGCCCTATTCTCTAGCTCACAACAGCTAAGTCAGTGTAAATCTACCCTAGGAGCCAGTTTGGGTTTTTTTCTGTTCCCATCACAGAGGGACCCCAGTGTAAATTTCAAGTAGCAAAGAGAACCCTTCCATTTGGAAGACAGAGGCAGAGGCATCATGAATGTCATGGGCTCTGTCTCAAAAGCAATTCTCTCTCTCTCTCTCTCTCTCTCTCTCTCTCTCTCTCTCCTATCCTCTTAAGTGCTGCTTCAGAAAGTGAGACAGCTTGGTGGGGAAGAGGGAGAAGGAGCAACTTAGGAACTTTCCAGGGTGAGAAAGAAGGGCGTGAGGTTATTTGTCCTGGACCTAGTGGGGCAAACTGTGAAGCCCAAATCAGAAATCCCACTGGTCCCTGAGCTCCTTTGGGAACCTAGACATTGTGATGGTGGGGGATCTGGAATGCAGGGGTGCAGCCTCCTTGGTTCCCTACTCTATGTGGTACTCTGCTGAGCAGCTCTGACTCTACAGGGACTGGAGTGACCATGTTCGTCGCCCTGTATGACTATGAGGCCAGGACAAGGGATGACTTATCCTTCATCAAAGGCGAGAAGTTCCACATCCTGAACAATACGTAAGTGACTGACTGGGCTGCCTAGGGGAGGGCGTGGCCTGGGCTAGAAGCGAGTCCTTGAGAGGAGAAAACTCTGATCCCTGTCTAGAAAACTCCTGCTTGGGAGGGGACACATGCATGCTGATAAAAGTCCTGGATGAGGGCTGGGAGTGTAACTCACAGTAGAGGACTTGCCTAGCTTGTGGGCCTTGAGTTCCATCTAGAGCACTGCAAACAAATGACAATAACAAGGAAACACTAAGTGATTGCTGCCTACCATGCAGGGAGAGGGAAGGTGAAGGACTTGGGGTACAAGGAGAATACTAAACTTGGTCCCCTGGGTAGTGGTGATTGAGGCGAGCTTCCTAGAGATTTTTAAGTAGAGACTAGAAAAAATGAGAAGACAGTAAAGGAAAAAGCAAGAAAGGAGGGAATAAGACTAAGTATTATTTCTAGAAAGTACCGAGTGGTTGCCTGTGTGTAAATCATAACAGATGAGGTACAGGGCTGGGAGGATGACTCAGCTGATAAGGACTGCCTGTCACCAAGCCTGACCATGTGAGTTTGACCCCTAGATCCCCCACATGGTGGAAGGAGAAAATTGGCTCCTATAATTGTCTTTTGGTCTCCACACACATGCCTACACATCACACTAAATACATGTAAATACTAAAAAAAGAGCTGAGAAGTGGTGGTGCACTCCTTTAATCCCAGCACTGGGAAGGCAGAGGCAGGCATCTGTGAGTTCCAGGCCAGTCTGGGCTACAGAGCAAGTTCTAGGACAGCTAGGAAAAAAAAAGAAAGAAAGAAAGAGGGGGGATGGAGGGAGGGTGAGCAGCAGGGCTGGAAGTGTGGCTCAGTGATAGACTGTAGGAACGGGTAAATATTTGCCAAAGGAGGCAGGAAATCACGAAATCATGTCCAAGAACAATCCAGGGAACAAAATGCACTTGAGGCAAAGGGCCCTCTGCCTTTTTGTCCTGGAGCAGCTCTCACAGTTCCCCAAGGCATTGTTCACCATGCGTCATCCCTTTGACCATGTTCCTGACTACAGAGCAAGGCTTTGGGTTTGATTCCCAGTGAGGTAGGGAGGGGAGAGGGGGAGGAGGAGGAGGAGGAGGAGGAGGAGGAGGAGGAGGA